ACCCCCACATGCCAGCATTGCGCTCTAACTGCAGCAACATTCAGAAGTACCTGAAGTAGTTCTTCAGGTATGTGGTTCAAACTGCAAACTTTTTTTGTGTCTGTCTCCCTGCCAGATCTAAGATCAGCTTCTCTGATTGCTTGATGTGGAACGTAGAGCAGCAAAACTTTTCATTTTTCCAAGTCTATCATCTATTGGGGGGGGGAAGCCACGTGCCTCAGATGCTCAGAAGCTCATGAGCTTTGGCTGCTCAAATGCAAAAGGTGCTACTCCTGCTGCTCAAAGTGTGTGCAGTGTGAACGTAGCATTAGATATTCCACAATAATCCAGGGGAAAATTTAGGGCGTACAATAGCTGTACATCCAATAATCAGGGCGTAGAATTTCTAATATATTTAGTTAAGGTTGTACAATCTGCTCCTGTATACATTTCTAGATAAAAGTCTGGCTATGTAGGTGAAAACAGGAGGATTTTACCCAGAGTTGATATTTACAATTTACAATCATTATTTTAATAATTAAAGCTACGTTCAGACAGCAGCAAAAAATGGTCTGCTGCTTCATTTCTGATGTTTTACCAAATTAAGGTCAGACGTCCTGTAAAGTGAGTCCAGATGTGTCCGATGCTTCTGCTGCTCCTGTGTTCAGTGGCAGAGAGCAGCGTTGCTATATTTGCTGTGATCAGCGGGTAAAAAGTAGTTTTAATATGTTTTTAAGTGAAAAAGTCCACCTGAAAACATCATCTGTGCAGAGAGTTTATCCAGATTACCATCCTGCCTTCAAATATATTATTTTACTGTCAGAGCCGCTCAGACCCCCACATACCGGCGGGGCGCTGTCACTGGGAATCCTGTTCAACAGCAGCCTTCTTTGTGGTTTTCCGCTACTGTTGGTGGCGGCTAGAAGGCATTTTTTTCACATACATCATCCAAACTGCAGTCACCAGAATGATAAAATCAAACATATTTCGTTGCCCTGTTTCTACATTTTAATTTAGGTGTTAATTATCTGTTTCAGAGGAGTGATCATAGCGCTGTTTCTTTTCCTGCAAGCTTCCAGATCAGCTTCTCTGATTAGTTGATGAGGCACGTTAAGTAGCAAAAATACATTTTTCCAACTGCAGCAGCTGCTGCTTCTGAAGCACATCACGTACGTCAGATGCTCAGAAGCTTTTGCGGCGCTGCTTCAGCTGCTCTAGACGCGCTCCAGGACCTTCTGCTGCGCCTTGATGCACGTCTACCACTGACTTTGCATATAAAGTAGCTGCTTCTGCTGCTGCTGTGTGAACGTAGCATAAGAATGACCAAGAGCATCCTCTAGTGGATGGCGGTAACATTACACTGAAAGAATTTCCTTCTAAACACGTTTTTCGACGATCATAAGTTGATTATTTGTTTACATCCCTACCTTCCTCCATCCTGCTCATCATTTCTAAGGGTTTATAACGGAACAACGATGCCTTGATATTTTAAGGTTGATATAATAGCCTGACTGGTTCCTTCTGCTCACGCTCAGGTTGCTATGGCGTTTCTGGAGAAGAAGCAGAGTTGGATGACTGGCTGTGTGCTCGCTGTGAGGCCAGCGCCATCACGGAGGTCAGTAAGCTCAATTCAGAATATGGAGCCCATCCTGGCTTCATTACATCATGGAGGGACACAGCTTATAACGCCATCAACATCGAAATAATGCCTTTTAACATAATGCTGTCATTTTGATCAACTTGATAGAGTTTGGCCCTTATTACAATGTTTGTGAACCCCTAGTTTTATGAAGTAAATGTAAACATTTAAAGCAAAAAAACGAATTTCATATAATGGCTTGAATTAAAAATAGAAGATTATGGTTTTTCCTAATGTTGCTGAATATAAAAAACATGTCGAATAGCAAAGGTCCTGATGGTCTCCTCCATAATACACTGGAGTAAATCCTTTACCTCTTCAGCCTTCTGATTAAAAATCAGAAAATGTGTCCCGTTGATACCAGAATTAATCAAAACGTCACTAATCAGCCAGCCCATGGTTATATTTATCTCTACTATTAGCTATTAGATCATGCTTGATATTGAAAGCAGCTTAAAACAAAACAAACAAACCCTTTCTGTCTGAATTCTTCACTTAAACTGTGATTATTTATTCTCTGTGACTCAGGAGTTTAGTCTTTCTTCAGTTTGTTTTGTTATGATGAATGCAGCTGGAAAGGAAAAAAATTACCTGCTCCTATTAAACAAACATGCCACAGATTATGTGTAATTAATGCAGGGGTAAACAATAAAAATCTAAAAGTTTCATTTCTGTTTTGTATTTTTGTCACATTTCAGTTTGCTTGCAGCAACAACAGAACAAAATTCAGTCCGTAGTTAAATACAAAACATAACGAGAAAACATGTGGGTCTTTGGCTTTGTTTCAAAAACATCCACAGAGGAGACCTTTGCAAAGTTTAGGCTTCTGTTGACCCAAAAACAGACCTAGGAACGTCCAGTTTAGGCAAACGTTCAAACAAAATCCTCGTTCTTATTGTTGGGAAAACACTGGAAACCAATTCTGGACCAAATAAAACAGTCCAAACTATAGAAAACTGCACAGCGTTCATCTGCTTAGACAAACTGAGGCCCTTGTTCATACCAACAGTAGTTTATTTTTGTACTTTTGCTTCAAAGAAATATTTCTTAAATGCTTTATTTCTGAGCCTATGAATAAAATAATTGTAACTTTAAACTACTCAGCTGTCAATGACTGCTGTTCTCCACAAGTGGGCAGCGCTGAGTTGCTCAAGAGCTGAGAGCAGTTTTTGCTTTACATCCTTATTTTATTTTTTGTTATGTCTCTTGACAGAGAACGGGTTTTGGTGGATCTAATTTAATGTTTTTATTCTTAGATGGTCTAAAATGTCATCTTGAAGTGTCACTCTGCAAAAAAAATTCATTTTTTTTTTTCAAATTAGTGCATTTGTTCTTTAACTGAGGAGGTAAGCGAGACACTTTAACAATGGAACAAGATTATTTACATTTAAAATAAGAAAAAACAGCTGCATTGTCTAATTTCAAGTGTATTATATCTAATTATCTTATTTTAGGAGTAGATATTTTCATTTCATTTGCAAATCATCTTATTTACCGGCTCAAATTAAGGGTAATTGTATTTAATTTAAGAAATTTTGACTTATTTTTTGGATTGTTTTTTCAGTGCACTGCAAGGTTACTCCATGTATAAGTTTTCAGAGTCTCAGCAGTGCGATCAGTTGTGTGAGGCAGTCAGGCATGCGGTGAGCTAAAGGCGTCACATTACAGCGTATTGATCTCCTGTTTATCCCTTTAGGATTGCTGTCTGTGTTCGCTCAGAGGTGGAGCCCTTCAGAGAGCCAACAATGACAAGTAAGTAGGAGAGGCTACGAAAAACCTGACTGGACTTTTAAATCACTAAATAAAAAACATCACAAGTCATTCGTCTTCATTGACTTATTGCAAATCTGCTTAATGATCAGATCTGAAAAGAACTGGTGGTTTGATCACCTGATCTCAGTCGATAGCCTTCTCTCTTTGTAACCTGATGATGGTTTAAAACCCAATGACAGAAATAAAACCTCCAGCAGGTAGAATTCTAGTGAGCTTATAGAGTTTCTAGACAAACATGACTCGTGGTTAACCTTTTTTTTTCTCTTTGGGTTAAAGTTTGACTAAAGGTCAAGCTAAAAAAAAAAACAGCAACGTTGTATTCGGGGTCCAAAATTAACTGATTGACTCAACGGCCAAAAGGAAGGGAAGATCAAATAATTTAACCGGCCAAGATTATTTTTACCGACCAGAAAAAGAAACAAAATTTGCTCTCATATGTTTTTAAAGGAATAGTACACCCAAAACATGATTAGCCTTCATTTTCTACTCAC